GCTTTTGGTTGCAGATCTCTAGTCCTCCAAATTCTATGGTTCTCTGGAGACAGGCTCCTCTATTTTCATGCCTGTTGTCTGTGCTGCCCTCTCAAGTTCTAAAGTCCCCAATGTGGGTGAGGCCTTTACCAACAAAACAAAAAGATCTTTGTCACAGCTCTCTCCCCCTCTTGGGTCACACTGCCTTAGCATCCCAAGTAAAATTAAATTGCAGTTTTTCCTACCCTCTCTGCCATTTAGATTTCCCATGCAAAAATGATGGACCCTCATCATCCAGGGACTGTTCTTTTTTTTTTTTTGTGGGGACCTCGCCGGAGACCAGGGAACACAGCCCAGAGCTCAACCGCTGCGCCACCAGGGGAGGCTCCAGGGACTGCTTTTTTTTTTTTTTTTTTTTAAAAAAAAAGATTTATTTATTTATACAAGCACTGGGTACAGTCAGAAGCGCTCGAGCCAGAGCCGAGAGCAGAGCGGGCAGAAGGACCGAAGTACACTGCTGAGGGGAGCAGCGGGCGGCATGAGAGGTCTGCGCGCCACGTGGGACCCTCCTCTGGTGGCCGGGGAGCAGCCCAGGATCGAACCAGCGCTGCAGAGGCTGCAGGGAGCTTCGCAACCCAGCGCTCAACCGCTGCGCCACTGGGGAGGCCCCCCCAGGGACTTTATCTGCATATTATTTCACTGAATATGTGGGGAGGAGGCAAGCCTGGCCTCCTTACTCTTCTACCATCTTGCCAGAACTCTCATAGAAAATATTGGACATGGGAGCCTGTGGCATAGAAGTTAAAGTCTCAGTGTTATGAAGCTATCACCAGTCCCTGCAGCATGAGTTTGATCCCTGGCCAGGGAGAGGACCCCCATGGCGCAGCAAACCTCTCCTACCTCACTTGCTGCTCCCCTGAGCAGTGTATTTCAGTAATTTGCCTATTCTGCTCCCCACTGTTTCTGGTGAATCCTCTCACCCTCCACACCTCTGGTCTAACCCGAGTTCTTTGTATGCATAAAAATAAATCTTAAAAAAAAAATGGACTTGGCATACTAAATGGCAACTTTTCTGCTAGCCTCCAGACGGGAATTCATTTTAGGTAGTAAATCATTGTAGCAAATGTCAACACAAAGACAGTTCTTTTGGCTGTTCCCTGTCTGGGGGATGGTGTATAGAAACAGAATTTTGTTGTCTGCAGTGAACGATCCCAAGGAATGATTTTTTCCTAATCTTTGTTCATTTACACAGTTAAGGAGGAAAAGCGGGTGGAGAGGGGTAGGCACTAAATAAACTAATGAATCTTACTGCTCAATCCAGCAGCAGTGACCCCCAGGGCCAGGGCTTATTCCTGGGCTGTAGGGATCCTCTTCCACCAGCATTTCCGGACAGCCCGCCCAGCGTGGTGTTTCCTCTCTTTGATGAGCCAGGAATGTGACCAGCCAGCATTGTCCCAGATGTTGATGACAGGAACTATTGTATTAAAATGGGATTTAAGATTACATTTCTATTTCCTTATGCTGATAAAATCATTTCAGTCAGGCACCCACTTTACGCAAGTTTGAAGAACAGAATTTGACAAATTCTGTAGCTCAGTGACTTTTCTATTTGTATTTGTTTCTCATATTTTACTTCTTATGAAACAAAAGAAAAATTTCTAAAAGTCTAATTCTCACTGAAATGGCAACTATGGTGGTCCACAGCAGCTTCTGGGAGGCTTCAGGGGTATCTGTCTACAGTCCTTACCTTGCTCCCTGGCCACAGGGAGCATCACCAAAGCAGGAATCTGTTGGGGGAAGAATCTGCTAATCTGTTTAAGTCATAAGACATAGCATTTAACTTTTTTGATTATTTTTAAAGAAACTCAGAATTCAAATTTTCAATCAACAGTAGTGATTTGGTTGGTATCTAGAAAATGCTTTTCAGCTCTTTTAAAAGAGACTTTACCTTGGGCCTCCCTGGTGGCGCAAGGGGTTAAGACGCAACCTCTGAAGCTATCCGCAGCTACTGCAGCACGAGTTCAATCCCTGGCCAGGGAGCTACCCACATGGCACAGCAGACCTCTCCTGACTTGCCCGCTGCTCCCCTCAGCAGTGTATGTCAGTAGCTCTGCCTGTTCTGCTCCCTACTCTTTGTCTCTGGTGAATCCTCTCACCCCCCCACCCCCGGCCTGTACCCCAGTTCTTGTAGGTATAAATAAATCTTAAAAAAAAAAAAGTGACTTTACCTTCAAATAAGTATTTAAAGGCACTCTGAATCTCAAATCTTTGAAAGCACATAGAAAATGAGGTCACTACTACTCATATTTCTTTCCCACTTTTGGCCTCTCCTCCCTTGGGCTGCGGCATAAGGAAGGTTGTGATACCCAAGCTTCACCAATAATGACTAGTCCTAAGAAGATATGGTAAACAGCACTAGTCAGTTATAACTGAAGTGTGAATTGGAAGGATATCCTAAATGCTGTATCTTATATTCATGTTACTGGTTGCTGCATAACAAATCACTCCACAGCCAACTGGCTTAAAATATTTGTCTCTTTGGTTAGGAATCCTGGCAAGGCTTACCTAAGTGTTTCTGCCTCAAGGTTCCACCAGGTTGCAAGTAAGGTGTGGCATCTGCTTCTAAATTCAGTGGTTGTCTCCACAAGTCAGTTTCTCTCAGGTTGTTGGACTGGAGGCCTGGCTGTGGGCGCCAAAGGGATACCCACATTCTGTTTGCTTCCCCAACCATCAGTTCCAAGAAAGAATGTATAGAGAAGCCACAGGTTCCTGTGACCCAATGTCAGAATGCCTTGATTTGATAGGATAGCCCCAAACCCAGGCAAGGGGATTACAAAAGTACATGAATACCAGGAAGCAGGAACCACTGCAGAAGTGCCTTAACCCTTAAAACTCATCCCATTTCTATCTAACCTCTAACCCTTAAAACTCATCCCATTTTTATCTAACCTCAACAGGATTTATAGTATTGTCCACTAATTTTCAATATTGACCCAGTATTTTGCTCTGTATTTAGAAAATCCAATGCCAACATTGTAAGGGCACAATTCATAAGAACAAAGCTCAAATTGCAGGCAGATAAAACTTGGAAGGATATAAAATCAAACTGGTCATCTACACATTAAAAAACCCTTTATAAGGAATGGTGCATCACCAAAGCACTGGCTTTGGTACTAATGCAAGCCTGATTAGTTAAAACTTCTAAGCTCTCAAAATTTCTGGCTTAATTGGGATATTCTGACATCACAAGAATTGGTGGTTAATATTTATGCAAAGATAAACACAGACACCTATCACACGTTTAGTTTCAACTTTTTAAAACCACACTTCAGTGATATTATAGTGCTTTCTCAATAGGCCTCATGGTTTACTCTTTTATATAATACAAAGGTTTACTTGGATATTATTGAAGACTATGAAGGGGCTCTTGAGTTACCAATGCCTTGCTAATTCCAAAGGCACCAAATTAGCGGGAAAAACACAAAGAACTATTCAAGCTTTCAAGTATTTTTGGAGCTACATGAATATTAGCTTGGATTCTATGATCAATAAATCACCAATTTTCTGTGACATAGTAGCCTGGGGCCAAACCACAGGCCCATCTGGAAGACTGCAGGCTCCAAAAATAAAATGGGAAGTATGAAGTCCATTTATAACCTGGGCCTGCTCAATAGCTACATGAAGTTAGAGGTGGGATTACAAGTCCACCTCAGTTTGCCAGCTGTTTTTGAGGCAGCTACAGTCTCTTAGAACAGCACTTACATTTTCCAAAACCTGGAGTTCTAGGTTCGTATGTGTAACACAAGGCTTAAAAAGGCAGTCTGGTCAACATACTGAGTTGGTAAATCCTGATTTCATTTGTAATGCCACTTCTTAGATAGGTTACAGTCTGGTGAACACTATACTATAAACACACTACAGATGTCTTAAGTCTAGCATGATTAAAACAGTTTATGTAGTTCATGGGTGGGGAAGGCAAATTAAAAACTGGTAAAGTAGGGCCTCCCTGGTGGCGCAGCGGTTGAGCGCTGGGTTGCGAAGCTGCCCGCAGCCTCTGCAGCTCCGGTTCGATCCCTGGCTGCTCCCCGGCCACCAGAGGAGGGTCCCGCATGGCGCGCAGACCTCTCCGGCCGCCCGCTGCTCCCCTCAGCAGTGTATTTCATCACTCTGCCTGTTTGCTCTCCACTCTGGCTCTGGTGAATTCTCTCACCCTCCCGCGCTTCTGACTGTACCCAGTGCTCGTATAAATAAATAAATAAATAAATAAATAAATAAATAAATCTTAAAAAAAAAAAAACAAACTGGTAAAGTAGTTGAAGGAAAATGTCAAAAATTCACTATCTTTTATAATAAATCCTTATCAAATCATTGCAGCGGAGCATGCCAAAAGCTGAGTACACTGGCGCTTTGGGGGAGGGTGAGTCAGGTGCACACATCAGGGCATGAAGCTGTACTCCCCACAGTTAACTGGCAATGAAACTGGCTATTAGGAAGAAAATGAGCATTATAACAGGTCCATTCAAACACTGTCAGTCATAACAACAGTTCAACTGTTCTTCACAGTAAACAATATTTATTAAAAACTTTAAAAAATGTGCTATTCTGGCCCAGTAATCATTCCCAAGGAGTGACTCAGTCGTGTTTGAAAACTTGTGTTTAATAATAGTGTTCATCACACCAGTACCTTTACTCAGAATTTACAAGTCTTTGGCATTTGCACACAGTGATTGTAGTCAGAGTGCATGTGTGAGCACCCCGCCCTGGGGAAATATCATTAGATGGAGTTTTCTGAAAATGCACCTTGTTAACCCTACCACCTTCACATTAAAGATAAAAGGAAAGCTAAAAAAAAAAGCCCAACAAAAACCCTCACAAGATGACATTTCAAGTTGTACAGCTTTACTGCATTGCATATTTCAGTTCAAAATGCATATTTCAGTTCAAAATGCACTCAGCCAACTCTGAAGTGTGGATGGGACCAACATGGGCACTTAACTGCATAGAATTCTCCTGGAAACATGTAGGTTATTAAATAATTTGTTTTATTGTACTGCATTTACAAAGAAAACAGACAATGCACCCAGTAGAAAGAATAAAAATGTATTTGGGGCTTTATTTTAACTGACAGCAAATAGAATTCCTTTAATGCGATCATGGCAATTTGACAGTATTATGATTGAGGTACATGGGGTACTTGGAAGATAAAATTCTGTAGCTGCCCCTTTCCACGGCTTCTAATTCATTTGGCTCCTTAAATGATAGGAGAAAAGCCCTTATTTGGTGGATATCTCCAAAATGAAGTTACAGGAGCACTCTTATTAAAATTGGTTTTCAGGTCAATTATTTGAATGGGTCCTTACATTTGTATGCCTGTGTGTGTATTTTGGTTGTTTCACCTTAATATCATAATTCCTGTAATTCACAATTGTGTTTTTACAGTAAAGAATTCAGTTCTAGTCTGCTATTGCTTTAGATGTATATATATTTGTGAAAACCCAAAGTGGACTAGAATTGCTGAAGGATTTTCCCTGCCGTTGGCTGATACAATCGATTCTTTATTCTTGATAGGTGCATAGATAGCTTCACTTAAAATTCTTTCTCCAGGAACATGTCTGACTTTAGGACTACCCAATCGAGAATCTGATGACTGGCTGGCCATAGTTACTGAGGGTACTATGTTTATGAGTTACATGGGTTGTATAATGGCACCACTTTTTTCTTTGCCATCATTGGTGGTAGAGAAAGAGGACAGAATCTAGATTCTAATCTCCCATATACAAAGTCAGCTACCCAACAGTTGCACTGGCAGCTTTAATAGTAGAAGTAGAGCCTCAGGTTGCATCTCCTTGGCCTTCATAAAATCAGAGTCCTATAGCTGCTTCGGAGAATGCTGTAATCCGCAAGGCCCGCTTGGTCCGTGCTGAAAAAGCAGCTGTAACCCAAATCCTGTCCCTTTTGCTTTTCAGTATTAACTGAGAATATGTAATGTCTAGAGCAAGTCTAGGAGAGGCCCATCTTATAATAAGATTCACAAAGCCTTTTCTCATTAAAAAAAAAAGTCTCAAGTACATCGCAATCATCTCAAAATTGGAGTTAAAAACTTACATCAGACAAGGAAATAGCAGCAGAGAATAGCTAATCTTAATAAAAACCAGCAACGAAATCCCCCCCAAATAAACAACAATGAAAAAAGTGCTGTCCCATCCCTCCCCTTGGTTCTTTTATCCTGGGGTTTCATTTAAGACTTGAAGCCTCTGGAAAAATGAGAAAGGCAAAGCCACAGAGGGAAACTGCTTCAAGGCCAAAATGTTGGACAAGGTTCAAAAAACAAGCTGTAAATAAAACTAGGGGAACTGCTTGGAAAAGAATCTATGGCATTTTCTATTCAGAAGAGAAATCTCTGAAACCCAGATCTGCTTTTTACAGTCTTCCTGAATTCTTCAGTTATGGGGCAACAAACTCAAGTGCCAGCCCAGGGATTAAAAAACAACATCAAAAATAGTCAATCATAACAACTGCTGTTAGAGTAACACAAGAAAAGGACTATTTGCAGAACATTTGTGGTTCTCAAGAAATTAATATTAGCCAATGGTTCTATTTGTTAAAAAAAAATCTTAAAGAGTTATTAAAGGATGAAAGGAATATGACAGTGCTTGAACAGTGATAAAATGGTACCCAAATTCGGTGTTTATACAGCTTATTTTTAGAGACAGTAGCTTTAAAAGTCGCAGGGAAAAATGTGAACAGAGAGAACAACAGAAACAATCCAGGAAGATAATGCAGCCTGGATACAGCAAGTTTAATGTCTCTGCTGTACACAAAAGTAACACCCTTTCCCCCTTCTCATCCTTATGCTGGCACGAGGCTATGCACTAGAAAATTTGACTCTTAGAGTCAGTGAATAAAAGCAAGAGCTCATGTATCTTCATAGCTCTTTTTAAAAAGGATGCTTATAATTTAAAGGGTGTAACTAATGGAAAGACAAGGGTACAGGGTGAGTAAATTTCACATTTTTTAGACCATTAGTCTTTGGCAGAGCCCAATCAAGGCCAAATTCACCTAGGATGCCCAATGGCTGTGGGGGATCTCCACAGGGTCAAGTAAGCAAACCCAAATGAACATGTTGGATTAAAAAAAAAAAAAAAAATCTAGAAATCCTTGAGAAGAGATTCACCCTGAAAAGGGAAGTGGGATATGCTTGGAGAGGAGGGGCAGAGGGTCAGTGTGTGATCTCTGCTGCGTTCTGGGCGGGGGCTTAGGAGTTGAGCCAAGGGTGCCGGAGACAATCCGCAGCAGTGGCTCTCTTCTCTGGGATCAGCTCCAACATGGGCAGTAAGAAATCCGTGAAGCCAGCTGCCTCTTCCTGAGACCACTCATACTTCTCCACTAGAACCTCAAAAAGGCCCCAGGGTTTCAGTTTTGTGATGTGTTTCAGGTCACCTATGGTAAAGACAGTATAAGAGAAACTGACCAACTTTGATAAGTGACAAGATCATTTTGTGGAAATTGGTGAACTAATCCAGTTAGTCTATAAAGAATCAATTTTTGCCATCAGAATCTAATCCTCCTTTCATAGAGCACCTTTCTTTTCTAATGTATTCCCTGGAAAGAACTGTCTCCACTTTTCACAAGGCCCTAAAATTTAATTTAGAGATCATCTCTTTTCTCCATCGTTTCAGGATTTTTCTTCCATCAAACTGGGTAGGTCTAATAGAGCAAGGTATTCACTAAAATGACTATTAAATGCCTATATACTCAATACAGTCTCGTGTGGTATTCAAAGGTGGTTTGTCAGCACATACCAAGAAATTTTTTTGTACTCTTTTAGCTCCATAGATGAGCAAGTGTTGCTTCAAAAAGAGGCCATAACTTAAAAATAGAGCTAAAACTATGTCAAACATGTATAAAACACAATTAAAAAATAAACCCCGTATAGCTTTCACATACAGCTGTATCACACTCTACCAATTTGAATGTCAATGTCATTTTTTTCTTCTTTGAAGTGACAGTTTTCTTTTAAAGACTGTTAATTATCCGTGATGTGTTAAGGTAAATGCCACTTTAACTTTTTTTCTTATGTGATACTTTAACTGAAGACTTTTCTGGAGGCACAGAGTGCCTATTTAATTACCTACTTGGTACATGCAAGCCTTAATCTGACTTCACACACAAGGAGGAACACTTACAGAGCATTTCACCATTTTCCTACCCAAAAAAGGGATTTCAAGAAATGTTTCTGAGGATGCTTGCTGTTAAATGTTGAGAAAAGTATTTTTGTTAGGAAAAAGAGAATCATGGCACACAAAGATAAAAAAGGCCTGACATTTTTCTAATCTCTTCTCTTTCAGCTTTGACGTTTTAGTTGTAATGCATAAGAAATACATATTTAAATATGTATTATCAGGTCAAAAATTTAAGATGATCACTTTATCTTTATTTTCTTCACTAATAAATGGTAACATAAACTTAAGAAACTGCGAAGTACAAACTTAATTCCTATCATTGGGCAACAGGATGACTGAGACCCAGTCCTTCCCTTAAGCTTAAACTAAACTACTTATCCTCTGGTAGAGGTAGTTCTTAGACCAAATGTCAGCAAAAATTTGTCCATTTCTCACAAGAGCTGCAGAAAAAGTAATCAGACATGTGATAGGCACTATACATATAGTAAAATTCATTTAAGATGAAGCAAACACTATCATTATCCCCAGTTAGAAATCATCAAAATAATGTTGTGACGGGCCTCCCTGGTGAGGCAGGGGTTAAAGTCTCAGCACTATGAAGCTGTTGCCAGCCATTTGGGCATGAGTTGATCTCCAGCCAGGGAGGTAGCCCACATGGCGCAGCAGACCTCTCCTGTCTCGCCCGCTGCTCCCCTCAGCAGTGTATTTCAGTCAATCTGCCTGTTCTGCTCCCCATTCTGTCTCTGATGAATCCTCTCACCCCCCAACCCCTCTGGCGTATACTCCAGTTCTTATATGCATAAATAAATAAAAGCAAATCTTTAAAAAAAAAAAAAACCAAGGTTGTGTCAAAACTAGTGGAGCAGCTAGGATTAAGCCACAGCCTGTGCTACACCACACTATTTCACTTCTCTGCTAAGCACTCAAGGTAGGACTTACATCCTTCAGTAGGTATTGGGAACATACACCCAGCTATACTTACCTATTCATTTTAAAACACTTTTGCCCCCTTAGTGGGAACATTTGTTTTACCTTTTTTGGTGAAAAACTCCTTGGAATATTTTCCTGCCACAATGAGCTTGCGAGGCACCTTCCCCAGAAGTTCTATGATCAATGCAATGTGATCTGTATGTTTCAAACATTTCAAGAGGGGGGAAAAAGACATACATAACAGGAGTAACAAATGCAGTTCTAGACATTGGCAGAAAGAGCAGCATGCACACCTCTTTGTAAAGCATTTCAGGCTTGCTTTCTGTCCTAAATGGGAAAAAGAGGACTCTATCCATCTAATGGAGAATCCAGAAAACCATAAAAAATCAGAAGCCCATTACTAAAGGATTTGAGTGATAACTAAACACAATCTGGTGTGAATGCTCTGCTTCCTGAAGTTGCATCCCTGGAGCCTAAACGAAAACTCATGTTAACAATACTACCTCTGCGATTGAAGAAGTCCTGTGAATATTTCCCACTGAGGGCAAAGCGTCTTGGAATTCTGCCTATCAGCTCTATAATGTGCGCAATGTGGTCTAAAATAGAAGGGTAAGAAGAACAGGATCAAGGACGAGTTGTAAAAGAGGTTTTTCTATGAAGAGCTTTTTCAAGGATTAGCTGTTTAAAAGTAACTACAAACAGAACCAAGGCTACTCAAGGGGAGGCTGGGAAAGCCAAGAATTATTTCAGGTGGTTGGTTACCTGATAGTAGCTGGCAAGTCCCATTCTAGAGTTTGACGACTTATCTACATCTTTAGTTCTATTTTGTCTACATATCATTATATATATAGGGTCAGGTGGACATTTTAGGTAAGACAAAAAGCTGTACCAATATGCTTTAGACATTCCAGAAATATTATTTATTTATAATACTGCTCGGGTTGAGAGGTAGCATTATCACCTTATTTAAGCATACTCATGACAAAGCACTCACATACGATTGAGTTTTCACAATCCTGTAAAACAGGCCAAAGATTAACATCCCATTCTAAAAATGAGAAAACAAGAACTTCAGAGAGAATAGCCTATTACTTGAAGCACAGGGCAAATACAAGCTGGTCCACAATCATTTTCATAAATCTACCTATGTCTAGTCCAGAGATTTTTAAATTTTTTAAAAATAAATTACACGCTTGAAGTACAAATTAACACAAACTTTGACTATCTGTAGGTCACTAAATGTCCATGTCATGCCTTCTAACTGTCACAGCATGCACGCTTAAAGTATCTCTACTGTTTCACCATGCTGGTGACAGAAACTATAAGAATATGAAGAGATTTTAAAAAGTGAGGGCTCCTAGTTACAAAAGAGCTTTCTAAATGACTACTCTTAAAGAGTCATCAAGGTCCAAAGGAATCACTCAGCACACACTAGTAGCCAGGGGATAAGGGCTTGCTTTTTCTTGCTCTTATGGGTCAAATTATGGTAATTTGAGGTTTCATTCATCTAAGAACTATTCGTATTGACTAATGCAGGAGGGAGGGAATATATTAGGATTTCAATATCAAGGATAAATGGTTTTCTTTTTTGGATATTTCATGTACATTTCAATCTTGAGATTTATGAGCACAAGATCCTATACAATATAATTCTAGCCACTGTATGTATTCTGCACCACACATTATTTATAGAGCGTCGAGGGAAGAGAGGAGAACAAAATCTTATCTATATATCTTCATCTCCCCAAAAGATATAATAGGACATTTCAAAAACACTGTAATTCTATAGCTCTATATTTGTAAGTAAGAGAAAGAAGCAAGCAGAACAGGAAAATCAAGTGTACTTATACAGTAAATACAGAATATTCTTCTTACAAGGGACCTTTGAATAAGAAAACATGTCCAAGCTGTATCCACTAAAATAGATATTTGGCTATGGGAATTAGCTATCATAGCTTTTTCCAAAGAGTACTTATTTAGGAATCTAAGTAGGCCCTACTAACATTGCCTATTAATATCCCAGGGAACCACAGTTTGAGAAATTCAGAGCATTCTTGGTTCCATAGACCACAAAACCTGATTCACGAAGAATTAAAGATAGCACAGAAAGGACATATATTTTCCACATTGGGAGGGTATGATGCGCTTAAATAATTTCCATTAATCCTGAAAATAAAAGTTGCCCGATTTCTGTAATAAAGAGGGTATAACATTTCTTTGGTAGCTTTTCATTCACAGTATTTTTGTGGGCTTTTCCTATTGGCTGCCTTTACAAAATGTTAATCAATATTTTGTCTTAAATGTAATTCTAAATGTTAGTATAACTTTAAAAATATGGCTGTAATTTTCAAAAAGGGGAAAAAAGAATGCTTAAATGTTGTGGAATTTATATAGGCAAATAGGATCCAGTCTCTGCATTCAATACTTGTGTTTTAAAATTACTGACTTACAAATAAAGTTGGAGGCATAATTGTGCAACAAGTTGATGACCAGGTAGCTATAAACTAGTTAAAGAATAAACCACTAATTTACAGAAAGAAATAACTAGATGTTTTAGAAGAAATTAGCAGGCAATTACAAGTTTTAGTTTTAATCAACTATGGCCTTTTCTCTAATCCTCATGTAAAGTTCATTACTATCTATTATAGCATATCTAATATAAAACATCTTTTCTATTTCTATCTTCTCTGGGAATTACATACACTTAGCACACTAAAAATACTAAAGGTCCTTAGTACTAACAAGTGATGTAAGCCACATGCAGAACCAAAATGCTACATACAGACACCCTTGGTTTATGTGACTCACCTTCATCGCGAGTATACTCTTCTCCCGAATGAGGTTCAAACAAATAGTCTCCTGTGGCTAGTTCAAAGGCCTAAGAAAAAAAAGTATGATAGCACATGAAAGCATCCAAAAGGAAAAAGACTTTGGGAAAGTTGCTGTTTTTCTGGCTCAATATTAAATAATATTTTCCTTCTTGGAAAAACCTGCAGATGATGATGTTTTAGAAGCCTACGATTATTCCTAAAGTGTTCCTTCCACACCTGTATCTTAATAAATGGAGCAGGAAAATAACAAAATCTGTTAATATCAACATGTGGATTATTCCATGCCACTCACCCCTTATCCTACCCCTGGTGCAGCAATTCAGTGTTCTTGAGGCTCTCTTTTTGCTGAGAAGGCACATGTGGATAGTAAGATGATTCCATTGATTAACTTACTAAATTATTCATGAGGTCTTATTTTCTTACATTATAATTTCACATGGTTAGAAACTGCGATTCTACACTCAAAAACAAACAAACCTACATAGATATTCCCCACCTGAAACTCTTTGGTGTTTGGAAAAAGGTATATTTTTAACTTTTATCTGGGGAAAGCACTTCCTAAATTGTCGCAGATAGGGAGTTCCCAATTCCTAGGCTGACAGAAAATCAGAAAAAGATTATGTGTAAATGTGTCAGAAATCATATTCTATGTACCTCACAGGTTAGCATTCACAACCAGGAAAAGGCATGTCTCTTTCAACAAGAAAACTTGTAAACAGCATTCAAGAAGATCTAAAAAAGTAATTTCCTCTGGAATAATTACCAAGCAGTATGGAATGATAGCATAGGGCACTGAAGCTATTTTAATTTTTCATTGATTAAAAATCGGGTTAAAAAACAGGAGGTTTGAGGGCCTCCCCGGTGGCGCAGCGGTTGAGCGCTGGGTTGCGAAGCTGCCCGCGGCCTCTGCGGTGCCGGTTCGATCCCCGGCTGCTCCCCGGCCACCTGAGGAGGGTCCCACATGGCGCGCAGGCCTCTCCTGCCGCCCGCTGCTCCCCTCAGCAGTGTACTTCGGTCCTTCTGTCTGCTCTGCTCCCTGCTCTGGCTCTGGTGAATTCTCTCACCCTCCCGCGCTTCTGACTGTACCCAGTGCATGTGTAAACAGAACAAACAAACAAGACGAATAAATAAAGAAATAAACATGCCTCTATAAAAAAAAAAAAATATATATATATATAAAAAACAGGAGGTTTGAAAAGGACTTTACTGACTCCGAGAACAGTTATAAGTTAATAGCTAGTCATAGGCCGGTATAATTGAGCCAATGGTACTAAGTAGTTCAGGTAATCTCAAGAAGTGTGGAGTGGATTTAGTGGGGGCATATTCTTAATTTAAACCCAGATTTAGGGCCTCCCTGGTGGCACAAGGGGTTAAGACACAACCTATGAAGCTATCAGCAGCCACTGCAGCACAAGTTCGATCCCTGGCCAGGAAGCTACCCACATGGCGCAGCAGACCTCTCCTGTCGTACCTGCTGCTCCCCTTAGCAGTGTATTTCAGTCAGTCTGCCTGTTCTGTTCCCCCACTCTGTCTCGGGTGAATCCTCTCACCACCCCCAAACCTCTGGCCTGTACCCCAGTTCTTTTTTGCATAAACAAACAGATCTTTAAAAAAACAAACAAACAAACAAAAAAAACAAAAAACCCAGATTTAGATCTCAGTAGCTTGTCTGTGCCAGTTCCTGCAGTTTCATGACAGGACAATGTTTCTCACAACTATACCACTGCACAAATCAAGGCCATAAAACCTGATGTTCCAGGATTGTTTCTAAAATATTAGGGAAGTCAGGCTTTTTGCTAGGAACAGTTTGTTTCACATTCCAGCAGTTCATTATGAAATTGAACCACACCAAGAGAGCAGAAACCTGTTCAACCCTGACTTATTCTGAGGTTTATTTTATAGTCCCAAGATGAAACAGAAATAAACACCAATTCTTATTCATGAAAATTATGTTAATCAAAGTCTTTTCAAAGTCTTAAATGGGAATTAAGATACAGAAAATTGAAATTTAAAAATATAATGTTTTAGAATTTTCTTAAATTTTCCACTTAGGTACTTACATCTAATTATCTTGTTTTTGGACCATGAGAGAGTTGGTTAAAATGTCACAAATAAGACAACAGCAAAAAACCCAAACCACTCTTCTGGCCATTTTGGAGATTGTAGAGGCCGACTTGGCAACAAATTCTATAATGACAAATATGCCCAGAAGGCAGTGGTCCAAAAGCCACTTTTGCTGGCTCTAGCAGGGTCTTAAAACTAAGGAAGCAAACAGCTCTTAAAATTAAAGGTGCTTTTATTCAAGATGAAACTGGACTCTCTTTGGGCAAGAAATGTGCTCACACATACAAAGCAAAGAACAACACAATGACTCTTGGTGGCAAAAAATAAAACCCAAGTCATCTGAGAAAAGGAAACCTGTGTCTATGGACACACTGGTGTGGTTTGTGCCAAATTCTGCTAAGGCCATTGGACTCAGAATCCATGTGATATATGGCCCTCAAGGATTTAAACTTACCGAAATGTAAATATGTAAAATCTCAGACTGGTAAAAAGTCAAACCAAACCCAAATAAGAGATCACAACAGAAGAACTGAAAATTAGGGCCTCCCCTGGTGGCACAGGTGGTTGAGCGCCGCGCTGTGAAGCTGTCCGCAGCTTCTGCAGTGGTGGTTCAATCCCGGCCGGCTGGCAAGGGTCCCACATGGCGCGGCAGACCTCTCCTATCTTGCCCGCTGCTCCCCTCAGCAGTGTATTTTGTCAGCCTGCCTGTTCTGTTCCCCGCTGTCTCTGGTGAATGCTCTTACCCTCCCGCACATCTGGCTGAACACCTTTCATTTAGAGATGAGAAAACAGTGACCAAAACAGAAAGCAGGGCCTCCCCCGGTGGCGCAGTGGTTGAGCGCTGGGTTGCGAAGTTGCCTGCAGCCTCTGCAGCGCCGGTTCAATCCCCGGCCACTGGGTGAGGGTCCCACATGGCGCGCAGACCTCTCCTGCCGCCCGCTGCTCCTCTCAGCAGTGTACTTCGGTCCTTCTGCCTGTTCTGTTCCCCGCTCTGGCTCTGGTGAATTCTCTAGCCCTCCCGTGCTTCTGACTGTACCCAGTGCTTGTATGAATAAATAAATAAATCTTTAAAAAAAAAAAAAAAAAAAAAAACAGAAAGCAAAGCCCATCCTGGAATGCAGGCTTTTTCACCTGACCGGAATTTAAAAGGAACCAAATGGAAATTCAGATGTTTGTAACTGGCTTTTGAATTCAGGCCTCTCTAGACATGGAATTTACAGCACCAGTGATTAAATCACCAAATTCCTTTTTCTGCTTGTTAATTTGCAGGTCTACTAAAATTAGCAAACAGGGAAAGATATGTAACTATCACATAACAAGTAAAGGTGAAGGGGGGAAAAAATTACCATGCATGCGGTGCTCCAAATGTCAGCAGGAGTATTATAGCCAGATCCTATCAGAACTTCCAGGGAGCGATACTGCCTTGTTTGAATATCTTCAGTAAAATGTTTGTGCTGAGTAAAATGGAGAAGGGTAACAGTATTTTAAAAATCATTTATTCTAAAAATAATAAATCATGATTGCTTAATAATGGTTGTAATAATAAATTCTCTGAAGTTTTTATTTAGTTAATTTTTAAATATCATTTTGATCTTATTATAGTTTCAAATGGCACTCTGCTGTACACAAACTGGTTTTTGCAAATCTGAGTGTAAACAGATCCACAGATGAGGGCATAACGGTTACTTTTTAAGAAACGGAAAACTACTAACCCCAACAAAAATTAAATAAAATAGTTCATTTATCTAAAATGAATAAACTGTACTTCAAACAGTACCAATTTAGGTTTCAAACTTCTTCCTTGCCGTGTGCTCATTATGAGGAAATAAATGATGTAAATTTTAAGTTTCAAGAACTTTACAAGCAATTAAAGAAACACAGGACCCAATTCCATATTCATGGATTTTATTTGGTTCCTGTTTCAAACAAAATTAAAAGAATGTTTATATGGCAACTGACAAAACTGACTGAATATTTAACATTAGTGAACTGTCAACTTTTTAAGGTATAACAGTGGTATAATGATTACATATAAAGAGCCACCTTTCAGAAAGCCATACTTAAGATTCCTGTGAAGACATCAAAATAATATGGAGTGAGTGTGAGGGTGGGGATACAGGTAAAAACAGACTGGCAATGACTTGGTAATTGCTGGGTGGCATTGGTATAACAATGGCCCAGGAGTTCATTATTCCATTCTCTCACTTTTATACACGTATATTTTTATATATGTTTGGAAATTTTTATCATAAAAAAATAGAAAAAAGGGAAAGCTTAGAGCCATACACAAGAAAAAAATCAGATATTAAAATGTACAAGAAAGTATGGGAGACAATTCCCTACTCTTACTGAAATCTGCAAACAATGAACAGCATTATGAAGAGAGGAAACCAGGCAGAGAAAGCTTCAGGTAGAAAATCTGTATTGATCAGGACTCCAAAGAGTACCAAAATTCGTTTTAACCAAAAGAGCAAAAAGTATGCTAGGTAGAAGAAACGCCACAAATAAAGGCATGGAAAGACATTTACTAAGGCTAAATATAGTCATTCTTAGGATAAAGGCTTTAGGTTTATCTTGCTGAGCACTACTTTATGTGAGTTCAGGAGAGCATTAAAGACTGACATGATATCTAAGGACATCATTCCAGTAATCTCTGGTGGGTGGCCAGATTTATGCTTAGTAATGAAAATCTGAATAAATGTTGTGGAAATAGGAGGGGGAAGAGTTAAACCCAAGGACATTCACAGGAAGAATAAAGCAGAATAGCTAGATATGGTAAACAGGAGAAGTGCCAAAAAGAATTTTATGGTCAAAGCTTTAAGGGTTGGCTGTCTATTGAAAAAGAACAACAGCGCCTTACAGAGGGAAGTGGTTTTACAGGAAAACAATGGGTTCAGATACTAAGGTGGAAGTGGAAGTGGACTGCTGGTGATACATTTAGCAAAATGGACATACTATTTAAAGGAACTGTCTTTACTCATTGTGCCTCGCAACTGCCTTACAAAGAAACTGTAAATGGTTAATAATCAGCAAAAGTAAAGGTAAACTGGATTTATACACGTACATTCACTCACTCCTGAAACCCCACTTTAGTAGAGACTCCAATGTTAATTTTAAAACCATAAACTGATAGAGACTAATGAAGTAAGAGCCATAAAATTTTTAAGTCAAATAACAGAGATCATTGGTAATTTAATGGATCTAAAAATTTTTGATTCATACCACAGTACTCATTCCCCCAAGACACAGAATTCGGTAGTATCAGGTATCTCTGGAGTATGAGTGAAGATGAATTTCAACACAGGGATACTATAAAAAATCTTTTGATGTTTGAGAAACTCATTCATTTAAAACAACACTGTGAGAAAGAGAATTCCATAACTTAGGGCATGATGCAGGCTAAGAGCCCCTTCCCTGGTCTGACAGAACAGTGGGAGCTTTATTCTCTGGAGTGGATAAAACAGGATCTTTGGAGGACACTCCTAACAGTCTAGGGGAGTACCATTCTGAAAACAGATAAATCAGAGTATAATGAACCCCAAATCGGAATATACTGAACCCCATTTCCTTGCTTAACTTAGCTCCCAGAATACTAGTAGCCACTATAGTAACTCTCTCCAGGTAGAAAATCTGAGGAAATTCTGTGGGAAATACAACTAATCCAAGAGGAAGGATTCAAAGATCCTGACATCTAAGGATGAAATGTAACAGCCCAGACAAAGACCCACCCAGGTGAAGAGCTTCTAAAGAGCTTTCAGTATTCTATTCATGTCAATCTTTTGTTTAGCGATCCTAAACAGAAAGAAGGCAATACATACCATACAGGAAGAAGAAAATGACAAAAAAAAATGGAAAAATAATCAATATCCTCCAAGATAATCAGAGAACAAAAGAACTCTTAGAAAGTACAGGAGAAATAGAAACAATAAGGCTTAAAAAAAGTTGAGATCATCTCTCAGAAAATAAAGCCAGAAGAAAGTGACTAAAAAAATTTAAAAAAGACGAAAGGTAAAAGAACAAGAGTACCTGTGTAAAGAGGTCTAACATTTGAATAACTAGATTCAGAACAAGAGAACAGAAGAGAATGAAAAGAAAAATTACAGCCAAAGATTCAGTTTCAACATTGAAAATGTACACCGAGTCCTTAGCATAATGGATAAAATTAGACCTAGGGAAGTACATCTCTGCTGACAGGATAACACAAAAAGGCATTGGTGTTTGGCAGCATCAAGATTGGGAGCTAAAACCCCTCAGCAGTGTGTTTTGTCAGTCTGCCTGTTCTGTTCCCCACTCTGTCTCTGGTGAATCCTCTCACCCTCCCGTGGATCTGGCATGTACCCCGGTTCTTGTATAAATAAATAAATCTTTAAAAAAAAGATTGGGAGCAAAAAGACAATGGAGCAATGACAAACATTCTGTGGGAAAATGATTTTCAACCTAGAATGTTACACACAGGTGAGTATGAAAGCAGAATAAAGACATTATCAGACATGCAAGAGCCACTTCTGGACCTCGCACCCCCCAACACATTCTTTTTTAAGAAGCTATTGCAAGTTTTATGTAATCAATAATCTCTAACAATCCTACCCCCCTTCCCACAAAATGAAGGCATAAACCAAGAAATAAGATCACAGAGACGGAAAACAGCATATAAAGAGAGTAAACAAACACTGTGAAAGGAAATCTCAGATGGCATTAAGGCATAGGCCTTTAAGACACCCAATAAATGAACATAAATTAAAAAGACTCCAGGTTCCAGAAGAGAGCTCTTGAGAAAGACGAAACTGCAAGCCTACCCAAGGTATGTATATATACCACTAAGTCAAAGTATAGAGCTGAGTGAAGTGACAGGGAGAACAAAAAAAAATGAGCAAATAAAACAGTTTTGTTAGGTAGAAAGGGAAAAGGAATTACAACACAATTATGGTTTGGGTGAAGTTAGCATTAGAATTCTACAAGGTAAACATAGATTACCTAGTCAAAAGTCATTTTAAATTGGGAAGGTGGAGGATGGGTACAGTGATAGTAGGTAAAGTTCTACTTTCCAGGAGTAAGAAATACCTAAAACTGGAAAAAAAACAAAACAAAACTGGGAGCAATAAAATCAAAGTTATTTATTAGCAACATGAAGGTAAATACTGTTATATGAGTGAAAAACAGGGAAAGGAAAAATAATTGGCAAAGGGAGGGAATAATTTCTTAATAAAAATCTAAATAACTGTCTCTAAAATTATATATATACGACTAATAAACAAAGTTACACTTTAAAAAGTAAAGCTATTTATATTTAGAGCCTCCCCGGGGGTGCAGCGCTAGCCTGCGAAGCTGCCCGCAGCCTCTGCAGCACAGGTTCAATCCCTGGCCGCCGGGCGAGGGTCCCACATGGCGCGCAGACCTCTCCTGCCGCCTGCCGCTGCCCTCAGCAGTGTACTTCGTCAGTCTGCCTGTTCTGTTCCCCGCTCTGGCTCTGGTGAATCCTCTCACCCTCCCGTGCTTCTGACTGTACCTAGTGCTTGTATAAATAAATACATAAATCTTAAAAAAAAAAAAAGTAAAGCTATTTTAAAATCATGTAAAATTCCTTTCATATTGGATGCTGCTATGCTAGAGACCAGTAAGATGTGATTTAATCAGGATCCAGTAGGACAAAATACCCATGTCTAGTTCACTATGTCCTAGTGCCCAGGTCAGGGAATGCGTGAAAATGTTTGCTGACTGAGTGAATGGATGAAAAGAACTTAAAGGCATGCCAGCATTGAGATATGTCAAAAAACGAACACATGTATGTAATTGTAAGAAAAAGAGAAATTCAGGAGTAAAAGTGCCAGGAAAGACTGTTCTTTACCCAAACAGGAAAAGAAAGCATGAGGAAGGTGTTCCAAATACAAAGGTTTGGAGGCCTGAGACATGGCGTGGGCAGCAAAGTGTCAAGCATTTGATGTTTATACCATGTGTATATGTAAAAGCCAGTATGTTTCCATACAATTCATTTACTTTATTTCCTGAGCATTTTTATGTACCAGCACTATTGTAAACACCACAAATAGAAGTGAACAACAATTAATAGCTGCTGTGATGGAGCATATATTCTAGGGAGAGAGATGTCAAACAATTACAGTACCAGATTGTGGGTAAGTGCCATGCAGGAAAAAAAGAGGGGGGAAATGCAAGAATGGCTATGAAGGTGCATGGATTTGGAGAATGGTGGCTTGGGAATTAGGCACACAACATCTAACAGTTCAGTCAATAGACCACACTTGATGGTGATTCCAAAATCCCTATTGCCTAGTCACCTCCCAGCATTTTACACTGGCAGCAGCCATCTACACCTTGTGTTGACTGTATCTCTTAGTAGCATCATTCCACCTAGATTTAATCTTGTGCTTTTTTGTTCACCAGAGCCCCTCCACATACAAAATCCCCTAACATTGCATATACCCAACATAATCTTCTAATAATTTACTTCTCAGAAGGTATCCCCTGTCAGTGATGCATAATTGTATGTCAGGCATTTAGGGGAAGATGACATCTGAAAAGAAACTTGAAGAACTTAAGGGAATGAGTTGTGTATATTATCTTGGAAAGAAAATCCAGGTAGAAAAACAGTAAGTATTCTTTGCTGGGTGGTGTGGGCTATGGTAAGGACTTTGGCAGTCACTCTGTGGGAAACAACTGCAAAGTTTTGAGAATACTTGATCTGACTTATTTTTAAAAAGGATCACTGACAGTTGTGTTGACAACAGTATGTATCAAGTAAGGGCAGAAGAAGGGAGAGTGAGGAGGCTATTGCAGTCATCCAGGTGAAACATGGTGGCCTGGACCAAATATGGTTTGGTGGAGTAATTTTAATTACTTGGAAAGCTTTTCCACATTCTTATTAGTTGGCGATACTGACTTCACTTTTGCTTTTAAAGTTTATCAATATTCTAGGATCAATAAAGGTATTGAGATCTTGCTAGGGCATGGAATAGGGAATTTGAAATGTAAAAATGAATCTATTAAAGTGCATTTTCAACAGCTCAGTTTTTGCTTCAACAATTTTCAACATTCCTCTTCACAAAGCATACAGCTCTTTGAAGTTGTCTCATTTATGTAACAAATTATTCTACTGAAGATTTAAAAAGATGGCCATTAAAAATAATATACAAAAAAATCTTAACTAGGGCCTCCCTGGTGGTGCAAGGGGTTAAGCACGGCACTATGAAGAAATCCGCAGCCTCTGCAGCACAAGTTCGATCCCGGCCGGCCAGGTAGCAACCCACGTGGCGCAGCGGACCTCTCCTGGTTCACCCGCTGCTCCCCTCAGCAGTGTGTTTCAGTCAATCTGCCTGTTCTGCTCCCTACTCTGTCTCTGGTGGGTCCTCTCCCACCCTGCCTCTCTGGCCTGTCCCCCAGCTCTTGTATGCATAAATAAATAAATCCTTAAAAAAAAAATCTCAACTAGGTTAACAAGAGTATTATCAGGACACTATATATAAAAAGCACTTAACTTTTGATATAGCAATTTCACGTCTAGGATATGTTCCAAAGACAACAATACAAAGACTCATGAGCAAAGATGCCCATCACAAAGAGCTGTCAAAAATGTGTAAAGGTTACAGTATACCAGGGAATAGTAAATAACCAACTAAATTTTATATACATATTTAGCTGCCAAAGTGTCCAAATACCTTGAGATAAGAGGTTATGATCGGTAGTTTAACTAACAATATTGAAAATAGAGGGAAAGCATGAACACAGGCATTGAAAGAGTATTAAAGTGAATGAGGATATAGATAAAACAAGATTGGCCAGAAGTTGGTATTACTGGATCTGGGTGATGAGTACTTGGGGTACAGTGTTTGTTTCATTATATATTCTCTCTATTTTATAAATATACTTGAACTTTTCCATAATAAGAGGTTGAAAGAAAAGAGAAAAATCTTCAATCATGTTAATAGGCAACCTCGGTAAAGAATTGCAAGTGTTTTCTTCCTTTAGCACAACTAGGTTCAAATTCTTGTTCATTTCATCACTTAAAAATGGCACTAAGACAAGTTTAACTTACCACCCAACAGGCATTTCCAAGATCAGCAATCTTTACTTTGAGTTTTTCTGCATTTTTTGGCTCAAGGGGATTAACAAGGAAATTTCCAGCAGTGGATTTTCCTATAGAAAACAGGCTTCATCAATCAGACTGTTCAGGGTGTCTCTGGTAACCAAGGGGTTAAGTCTTTGCGCTATTTCTGCAAAGGCCCTCCTTGGCAGCCTATGTTCAATCCCTGGCAGGGAGCTGACCCACAGGGCGCAGCAGACCTCTCCTGTCTCACCCGCTGCTCCTCTCAGCAGTGCATTTCAGTAGATCCGCCTGCTCTGCTCCCCACTCTGCCTCTGGTGAATCTTCTCACTCCTCCCACCCCAGCCTATACCCCAGTTCTTCTACACAAAAATAAAAATAAAATCTTAAAATAAATAACTTTCTGTGGTAATACATTCCGGCCCTCAAATGGAAACTACAAACGAATCTTCTAAGATAAAAGACAACACCACCACCTTAAGTTTCCAAAATTAAAACCTCTGCCTTCAAAGCAAAAAGTCAAACTGTACATCCACTACATGCTCAGTGAAATTCAAAATTAGCTAGCGATTTACTTAAGACATCTGCTGCAATGCTATATTGATAAAAACAATCAGTCTAGAAATTCATGAACATGTTCTGTAGAGAAAGTGTGGGCAACTATGTCTGCAGAGGTACCTTTGTTGTCCAGTGGTCCATTGTGTTCTTGCTCTTGCTCATCTTCACAGGGTATCTCTGCCCGAATGCTTTCTTGAAGTTGGCTGATGTCCTGTCCACAGAATGACTGGTCTACATTTAACGAAGACTGGTACATCATGGTATCTGACACCTCAGAAGTTACTGGTATACAAGAGTCTGTTTCTTGAGATGTACTGCTATCTCCATTTTGGGAGTTTAGCAAACAAGGTTCCTGCTTCAAATTTTGGACACCACAGTCATTAGCATTATGGAGATCCTCTTTAAGCCTCAATGTTTCTTTATTACTGTTCTCAGTATAATCAACGATTTCAATTACTCCATTGCAATTAATTTCTGCTGCACCACCCTCTACACCATGCTCCGTAAGTGTCTGATCCTGGCCAAGGGTACTTGACTCTTCTAAAGAACAAACAGACAAAAAGGATGTATGTGTATGTGCTGGCGTATGCATGAAAGAACAGAAAAATTTCTTACCAAGATTGAATTATTTTCTAGAAATTATACTGGATGATATAAAAACATGACCCATGACCGTAGTATCTTAAACCTATTTATGGAAGGACCAAGATCTTCTTAGCCTTACCCATTTGCTAAATGAAGTCTATGCTGCATTTCCTGAGGAAAGTTAGAAATTACATTTGAATATTATCTGCCTAACATTTATGTCAAGCTCTGCATTCTTAATTGTAAGGACACCCCCACAGATATGTTGTATGCATGAAACTACTATATTATATAACAATGATAAATTAATGTTAAAGTTTGCTATAAAGTAATTTTTGTGATGCTCTATTTATACCAAGTTTTTCTTGGGTCATTTTATTAGGTGGGTTCTCTTTCAAGGGTCTTTCAACAGGACTCTCTGATTCTTCTTGCTTGTTTGGTCTTTTTTGCCCAGGGCCCGACTCTTTCTCCATTTCCTCAATTTCCTGCATTCGCTTCTCTAGTAATTCTGCCTGGCGCTTCTGCTTCTTCTTCAATTTCTTCTTCTTATTCTTTGACATTTTGTCAGCCTGGGCGGAGATTACAAACAAATAAAGCCTTCAGGTGGCTAATCCATTACCCCCAGTTGGAGATAACTGTTAATTTTAATTACTTCCTAATTAAAATTAATTCTTTCCCTAACATAGCACTTAAGTTTTTATTAACTTAAAAAAACATAGTATTCTTACTAAAATAAAAACAAATTAACAAATCTTGATCTTCTGAGAAGTCTGTGGGCTGGTGTACTCTCAGACACACTCAAATTTATAGATGCCTCACCAGTACAAACTTGCCGAAGAAACATGGGAATTTACTGGAGAAAATTATAAAAGTGCAGGAAAATTTTTTTCTTTGATTTTCAAACTTGAAACAAACTGTGATCATCCAAACAGAAGTCTCCATACCCACGGCCCCTAGACCAAAATTAAATATATAAACACCTTATACTTACTGGTTTTGGCTGGGGTGCAGTACTGACTGAAAAGAAAAGAAAACCAAGTAAGAATTCTGGCATTCAACAGGCAATATAAACTAAGGCTCATATAAGACACTCTATCAGAATGAAATGTCTTTCTTACACAGTTTATACTATAAAGAAGACACTGTTTTTTAGTAACTTTGGTAGAAGAGACATTAAAAAAATGCACACAAAAGTCAACAAACTTAAAAAAAAAGTTTAAATAAATTGAATTCAAATAGCATCAATATATACAAAAAGCAAAGTTCCCCATTTCTGGATTCTACAATCAAGGCTGCTAAAATACCATTCCCATGAAATTCCCCACTTAGAACTTCCACATTTAATTCTTACCCTGGTCCCTGTAAAAATGGGATCAAAAGTTAAAGTAATTTGTTATATAACATGTAGTGAATATTAGGTAGTTTAGGTAGGTTAGTTTAGGTTAGGTGAAGTCCCAGTTTTCCATTTTTAGAAAAAGTTTTTAATTGTGGTTAAAAGAAAAATTATATAAAAACTTACCCTTATCTTAACCATTATTAAGTGTGCATTTCAATAATAACGACATTCATACTGTTGCGTAACATTTCTAGAATGTTTTTGCAAAACTGAGAACTCTATGCCCATCGAGTAGCTCCCGATTTCCTACTTCCAGAATTTTTCTTTCTTTCTTTTTTTTTTTTTTTTTTTTAAAGATTTATTTATTTATACAAGAACTGGGGTACAGGCCAGAGGCATGGGAGGGTGAGAGAATTTACCAGAGACAGAGCGGGGAACAGAACAGGCAGAAAACTGAAGAGACTGCTGAGGGGAGCAGCAGGCGAGACAGGAGCAGTCTGCCATGCCATGTGGGTATCTCCCTGGCTGGCCGGGAATCGAATCCGTGCTGCAGAGGCTGCAGACAGCTTCACAGTGCTGCACTCAACCTGCTGTGCCACCAGGAAGGGTCCCTATAACTTTTCTTTTTAAAGAAAGCCTGTGACTGACATTTCAGCTTGAGGATCAAGAAAGGTTCTCAAACACAATTAAACTACTAAAATTAAAATTCATACTGCAAATGGAAAAAAAAAATCACAATCATAGCAGTCATCATTCTTTATCACATAATACTAAGTGGCACAATACTAACTGCTTGAACATAAAATTAAACCCCATTAATTCCTATATGGGGGGAAAAAAATGAAATCAAGAGACTTGACCAAGATTACCCTGCGAGTGATGAAGCCGTAATTCAAATTAGGTCTGCCTACTCCACTGCTTAAGCCCAAGCTCTTAACGGAAATACTACCTTGCCCCTGATCCATAAGTGAGCATGCATGATCAATGTAAAAGGGAAACAAATAAAAAATGGCCAAGTCACAAGAAAAACACTTAAAACAACACAAATTAGTTTTTACAATATACAACATACACATGTACCTAAAAGACAATAATAATCTCTAGTCTTCTTCCCACATGACAGTAGTCCTGAGAATAAAAGTCTCTTGAAGGCTGACACTATTTCCTATACATATAGTACTTCTTGTATATTATTGTTAAGTCATAGAATAAAATGAGGAACTTCCCTTACTTCTAATGAGTGCAACGTCCCCAAAGCAAATATACCTGCAGATCCTGAAGGTGGAGGAGCTCCAGATCTCTGCCATTCTGTTGCTTCTGCTGCCAGCCTCCGGATGTACTGCTCATTCACTGACAACAAGATGTTTTCTGGTTTAATGTCAGTGTGGATAATACGGCACTTGGTGTGTAAATAATCCAGACCCTGTAATACCTGCATGGAAAGAGATAGTAGATTTCACAAACAGAAATCACAATACAATAATATGTAGTATTCTACAAAGACTAAAGCTTTTTTTTTTTTTTTAAACACAAAGAAGCTTCCCCAGGAGATTAATGGTAAACTCTGAATAAAGGTTAAGAGTTTATTTATAATAAAAAATTTCTTCCAAGTTTTATAAAACTAATTCTATTTTGGAGATATTCTTTAAGTACTGAGAATAAATGGTAAACATGCCCTTTACTGAAGTCTCTCGATTCCCAGTTAGGAGCTTTTTCCATGAAAACACATTGTCCACACAAATTATTTGCCATTTGAAGTATTAGTATTTTCCTGGTGATAAAAACTTTTACTGTATATTACTTAGGCTATTTAGAAAATACCCATGAATTTTTATAAAGAGAATGGCAATAATTTGGCACAACAATTCTCTATTAACACAATCAATTATTTGGTGAGATAAGGAAGGGCTCCAATTTCCCAAAGTCAGGCACTGTATACATCTTTCCCTCTAAAAATTGGTTATGATAACATTTAAAAAGAGAACAATAAATCCTAAGAATTGAATAAAACAATTTTTAGCAATTAAAAAAACCTAGCTATTAAACTACTAGAAATAGGAAACTCCTGATACTTTCATAATATTAAAAAACCACCACTTACAAAAGACTAAGATACATACTTGCTGAATAATTTTTTTGACACAAGGCAGTGGAAGCCCTTGATAGTTGGACTTGATGATCCATTTGAGCAGATGATGTCCCAAAACTTCAAACACCATGCAGATATCTAGGAACTGGTTAAGGAGGAAAGGGAGGCACAAAAGCAGGGGCAAGAGAAGATGTGTTCCACCTCAACGAAATGCTCTTGCATGATTCTTTCAGTATAAAAAGTTGCAGACTTTGACTAAAAAAATTTGTAGCTGTCAAGATTCTGAAATTCCAAAGGCTAATTAGTTTTTCCGTCAAAGAAAACATCTAAGAAATGGGAAATATAGGGGACTGGTGATGAAAGAGATTTAGGTATCTTTTAGTTCAAATTTCCTTCTTAATGAAGAACTGAGAAATCTTACTTCCCAGTTAGGAACTTTTTCGATAAAACACATTATCCAATAGCAAAATGAAAAGTGAAACATCTACAGGCAATTAGTGATAGCAGTAGGATTAAGTTGTTGATTAGACCTTTTCTTGATGTCTTAACTAATGTCCAAGGTAACAACACCTACTCTCATAATGGTCTCAAAGCAGGGAAAAACAAACTCACTTGCATTAAAGAAGATAATGTACCATGTGTAAAAACCACAAATGCCAACATCTTTTGAAAGTAAGAAACGGACTTGCTTTATGCTCTATAGTTTATTGAACTCATCTTGATTCTAGTGCCACCATGTGTTCTCTTTATGTATGAACATACTAGCACACCACTCAGTGGGAATATTCTTGCACTGCTACTGTGGGTCACCGTAGGGATTTTAGTAGTAAGATGTTTGCATCTTCCACCTCAAAGCTTCTATATAAACTGGAAAGTCAAGGTACACATATATTTATTTAATAATGACCTAGTGCTCAGACTTTTAAGTAAAAAAAGACTATCCATGAAAGAAAACCTGAGATCCTTAAGAAATGGACAAATCCAGTGCAAACCTGGAATACCTTCCTACCCAATGAAGAAGAAATAGGAACCAGTTTGAGGAGGTTACCACTGGCCAAAGTAGTGAATGGAATTATGAATTAAGTTAGAAATGAATCCAAATGGATAAGTGTGTGTATGCTGGGGAAAGGGAGAGAAATGCATCCTTTGGAAAAAGTCAAATAATAAATATACAAAGTGTGGCAAATAGAAAATCACCATTTATGATCACTACAGTAATAACTGATTCAGTTAAGAGTCAATGAATACTAAAACGGCTGTGTAGAAGGGAAAAAAGTATTACAATATCACAGTATGACCCAACAGACTGCTTATTAAATGTAAAAAGGAAAAGATACTTTTACAAAGAAATCTGGAAGACACCACCTTAACCAAGTGATCACCACCAACAATAAGCATGTACTATCCTAAGAACAACAAAACATCACCCATGCAATGTATCTGACAAAAATGAAAACCTTTAAGCAGATGAGGAAACAAACATTCAAACTAAAAGGGTAAATAAAACAATTGTCGTGGATTATTATTTTTTTAAGGAAGGATTTACTTATTATTTTTTATTTTTTAATTTATTTATGCATACAAGAACTGGGTGGGATGCAGGCCAGAGGTGCAGGGGGGTAGTGAGAGGATTCACCAGAGACAGAGTTGGGAGCAGAACAGGCAGATCTACTGAAATACACTGCTGAGGGGAGCAGTGGGCAAGATAGGAGAGGTCTGCTGTGCCATGTGGGTTAGCTCCCTGGCTGGGAATCAAACTCATGTTGCAGTGGCTCAGATAGCTTCACAATGCTACGACCTAACCCCATGCACCACCAGGGAGGCCCAGCCCTGGATTCTTAAAGACTAATATGACCAAATGCAGGTGAGATTGTGGAGCAATTAAAACTCTCATATTGACAGCAGGCAATGAAGGCACTGATCCCTGAGAAGGAAAACAAATAAGTTGAACCCTAAAATTGCCTTATTTTACTGTCTTGTGACTTTCCAAGCAGAGTCCTCAAGTTAAACAGATGAGTTGAGTGTCTTTTTAGGACTAAGACAGCTATCAAAGAATAGGTACCAGAGATGAGATAGCTACAGAAAGAGAACCCTGGAGATCCACAGAGGGTTCCCCTGTAGTATTCAACAGAGTACTAACCAGCACAGACATGTAAGAAAACCACTAGAGGCAGAGGGAAAAAAAATTCTAATGGTGTCAGAAGGAAATGTGTCCAGCATTCCCAGAGGGCTCCAACAATGTCTGTTCTCATCAAAATCCATGCATATATGATCATTCATAAACAACACAGGAGCCAAGAATGTATAATGGTATAAAGATAGTCTTTCAACAAACTGTGCTGGAAAATCTGAACTCTATGTGCAACAGAATGCAACTAGAGCATTATTATCTTAAAAATAAAATTTAAAATGGATTTCAAAGGCTTGAATGTAAGCCCTGAAACCATAAAACTCTGTGACACTGGTCTTGGTTGATGATTTTTTTTTGATCTGACATCAAAAGCAGAGGCAACAAAAATAAACAAATAGGGCTATGCTAAACTACTAAGTTCCTGCACAGCAAAGGAAATCTTTAACAAAATGAAAAAGCAACCTATAGAATGGGAGAAAATATTTGCAAAACATGTATCTGCTAAAAGGTTAATAACCAAAGTATGTAAGGAACCATACAACTTTTAATAGAAATAAATCTGATTTAAAAATAGACAGTCTGGAAAACAGTATGGAGTTTTCTCAAAATGTTAAAAATGAGAGGTCTCCCTGGTGGCGCAAGGGGTTAAGCGCCGCACGATGAAGCAATCTGAAGCCTCTGCAGCATGAGTTTGATCCTCTGCCAGACAGGGAGCAGCCCACAAGGTACAGCAGACCTCTCCTGCCTCGCCCGCTGTTCTCCTCAGCAGTGTATTTCACTCAGTCTGCCTGTTCTGTTCCCCACTCTGTCTCTAGTGAATCCTCTCATTCCCCTGCTTCTCTGGCCTGTACCCCAGCTCTTGTATGCATAAATAAATAAATCTTTTTAAAAAAATGTTAAAAATGATATACCATATAATCCAGTAATTTCACTCCTTGGCATTTATCCAAAGAATGCAAAAACACTAATTCAAAGGAATATAAACACTTCTATGCTCAGCATTATTTATAGTAGCTAAGGAAACAACCTAAGATGTGGTATGATAGAATATTAATCAGCTATAAAAAAAGATGAACTCCTGACATTTGTGACACCCTGGATGAAATTAAAAGGGATTAAGCCAAGTGAAATAAGCATGAGGGAAAAAGATGAATACCAGATGATTTCACTCATTATGCAGAATATAGAGAAACAAAACAAAGGAACTGACAGAAAAAACCCAAAATAAAGACTAGAAATGACTGCAGAATTCAGGTCTTTAGAGGGAGAGAGGGTGGGTAGAAACAAAGTGGGAGGAGGCCTAATGGTGTATGATATAGGAATATGGATGCTCTGGGATGGGTGTGATGTGGTGATACACACATTGAGGTATGAACCTATTCCTATGACTCAAACAGTACTGTAAATCAATGTTGCCTCAAATAAATAAATTAAAAAAAAAAAGGCAGAAGAAATGAATAAACATTTTCCCAAAGTAGACATACTAATGGTCAACAGGTATATGGAAAGATGCTCAACATCACTCATCATCAGGGAAATGTAAATCAAAATCACAAGAAACTTATCATACCTGTTGGAAAGATTATCATTAAAAAGAGGAGATGAAAAAGCTGGTGAGGATGGAATATTGGTGGGACTGTAAATGATGCAGCCACTATGGAAAACAATATAGTTCCTAAAAAGATTCAACAGAACTACAATAGATTCAGCAACTCCACTTTTGAGTATTTAGTTGAGGGAAAAAACAGCACTATTTTAAAAAGGTATCTGCACTCTCATGTTCACTGCATCATTAATATAATAATCAAGACAACCAACCAACCAAAGCGTCCACTGATGAAGAAAATGTGGATGTGCATATATGCATACATGTGCATGCGTGTGTGCGCATAAACACACGGACATTAATGAGTCATAAAAAAGGAAATTCTACCATTTGTGACAACATGGATGAACCTTGAGGGTATTATGCTAAGTGAAACAACTCAGAAAGAGACAAATAACATATGAACAATTACATGTGGAATCTAAAATAAAACAAAAAAAATCCCACTAACCAAGCCCATAAATACAGAGAATAAATTGGTCACAGAGGTGGAGGGCATGGGCTGAGAGCGGGGATACAATGTGTGAAGGCGGTCAAAAGGTATAGATTTTCCAGTTACCGGAAGAGTAAATCCTGGAATGTAATGTCCAGCATGTTAACTGTAGTTAGTAAGAAAGTATTATATATTTAAAAGTTGCTGAAAATAGATGTTTTTTCTTAGGTATCACTGGTTTACATCCTTGTTTTGTGCTTTAGAAGTACAGGACCTTCCCATTCAGAGGCTGTTATCACACCATAGTCCAGTGTGCTATCTCCCCACTTTGTTCTTGCCCCTTCCCTTCTCCCTCCAGCTGCCTCAGTTCTATAGCCAGTTTTCAGGGTTAGTTTTTTAGTTTGGCTTTATCTAACCCTTTGTTTTCTCAAATGTAAGTCACACTATCTGATATTTGTCTTTCTCCTTCTGACTTCTTTCAATTAACATAATCCCTCCCAACTCCATCCAGTTGTCACAAATGGCAAGAGATTTTCTTTCCTCATAGCCAAGTACTATCCCTTGTGTATATATACCAAATCTTCCTGATCTGCTCGTCTGCATTTGGGCACTTAGGTTGTTTCCATAGCTTGGTTATTACAAACTGTGCTGCAGTGAACATGGAAGTGCATTTTAAGAGAACAGATAAGACAGAGAAAGTTCTTATCACAAGGAAAAAAATTCCTACTATGTGTGGTAATGGATGTTAACCAAAATTAATGTGATCATTTTGCAATATGTACATATATACAATGATATACAATGTATATCAAATCATTATGTTGTATACTGAAAACTATATGATATACAATACCTCAATAAAAAAAAGAATAGAAAAATTCAGTAATGGGGCATGCGGCAGACTATTCTGGAAGGCCTTGTTTTCAGTAGAAGGGAATGAGCAGCCCTAGATTTAACACTGCTCTGGCTCCACCTAACAAATCATAAAAGTAAAATTTGAAAAGGATCAAAGCTTTTTCCAACTAGCAAAACTTTATCAAGATTTACAGGAATATGACATATCTAGCAACCTACAAGTTACAAACCACAATGCCTTTAAGATTACCAGACAGCGAAGATGCAGGAAAATGAAAACATTATCTGAAAATCAGTATAATCAGGCACCTGGAAGTGACCCAGAACTGACACACATATTAAAATTAGTACATAAGGATATTAAACAATTATAGTTGTATTCCACATGCTGCAAAGTAGAGACACAGATGATGTTAAAAAAGAGAGACCCAAACTGAATTTGAGATTAAAAGTACAAAATGAAAGATGAAAAATACACTGGATGGGATAAATGGCTTCAAGCATTAGAGAGGGAAAAGGTTAGTGCAATAGAAACTATCAAAAATGAAACTAGCAGAGAAAAAATAATCTAAACAAGTGCATCTACCCAACTTCAAGTGACCTTAAAGAAAAGGAATGAAGGTACCTGCTCTTTGCAGTGAGTCAACAAATCAGCAGCAAAATGAACTCCTACGTGCTTATATTCTGGACAATACCCCCGAAAAGGAATTAGGGCTTCTTAGAGAAATGGTTGATTCAGTTTTAGTACAAGATAAGCCTGGAACATCTTGATATGACAAATAGTAAAGTAACTGTCAAAGCCCTTTTGTGGATCTTGACTCAAGAATAAAAACTAAAAGAAAAAATACTGTGAGATATCTGGAGAGTGTGAAATACTGACTAGATACTGGAAGACTAATATAATCTGAAAACAATGTTTAAATTTCTTAGTAGTGATATAAAAATGACCATACATTTATTAGCTTATTAAAAAAAAGGACAAGGCTAGACTATCAAATGTCACATAAAATAAAACTTCTTGCGAAGATGATATAAAGGGGAAAAAGGGCAAAAAAGTGCTAACAACTAACTGCGTGACAGAACCATTTAGAGCACTTTATGAATAAGAGGAGCCAGCAAGAGACAAAATACTAAGGAAAAAACCAGTATTCTATGGATATAGCAGGCCATTTAGAAGGCTAGTAATGACACTTGATGGCTAACATCCACATTATAAAGACCAGCTGTCCCTGAACATTGTTCCCTCTTCCTCCCCTATGTAGTAGAATGAACCAATCTCTACCAAAGTCTATTGTAACTTTCCAGGTGAGGGGTCTTTATACTGCACTATAGAAAGGACAGTGTTCCAGAGAAAAAGAAGTTTGTGCAGAAACAAGGAAAAATACAGATGTATAACTCCATGCAGGTATGCCTCTATTGTGAAAAGAGATGATGGACAGTAGAGTACTATAACACATTAACCCTTAACCTAGCACTCTCAGTTTTATCCTTCCCAATCTTTAGTAGCAGAAAATAAAGCAGTGACCAACAGAGTTGGGAGAGAAGCAGGAGGAAGGGCAGAGAGAAATAAAGGGAGAAACAAAGGGAGAAAAGAATAAAGTAGGGACACGATGGATAGAAATGACAGAAAAACCACCTGGTGATGTTTGCCAAATACCTTGCAACTTGAAATTTAAATCTACTAAGATACTTCAATAGTTTAAAAAAAAAAACCCTTCTTGCTTATGGTTGGGGAATATTTCTAGAGTTTTATTTGTAACCAAATTAGTAGAGAACTGTGGCACAATGACAAGTACTACATGACTGTGTAACAGGGAAAAGAATCTAATGACATCTTGCATATGTTTTTCTTTCATGGTTATTAGCCTTCTTATTACTTCAAACACACATGAATACATGCAAGTGCACATACACACAAGTGAATCATCTATCAAGTGACCACTAAGATGCTGTTTTAAAACAGGATGATTCTAATAGCATTTTTCCTTCAGGATCAGGGATATATGACTTGTACTTCTCCAAGGAAACAACTTAAGATTAAGTTCAGAATGGGAGATGATGTCTTTTCACTTTACCACCTGTTCTCTCTCCTTTGCTATCATCTCTTCCTGCTTATTTGTTCAAATCTCTTAACGTATTTGACATGATACTACAAAGCCGTATGTAAGTCACCTCTTTAAAAAAATAATCGGCAATTAAGAATGTGTGTTGAGGCCTCCCTGGTGGCGCCAGGGGTTAAGCACCGCACTATGAAGCTATCTGCAGCCTCTGCAGCAGGAGTTCGATCCCCAGCCTGCCAAGAAGCAACCCACATGGCCCAGCAGACCTCTCCTGACTTGCCCTCAGCAGTGTATTTCAGTCGGTCTGCCTGTTCTGTTCCCCAATCTGTCTCTGGTGAATCCTCTCAGCCCCTGCATCTCTGGCCTGTACCCCAGCTCTTGTATGCATAAATAAATCAATCTTAAAAAAAAAAAAAAGATTGTGTGTTAAGAAGCTAAACATGCAAGTAAAGTAGAATGAGACATGAAATGTTTTTCCTTATACATTTAAAATAGTTTATGAACAAGTTGTTTAAGATTTTCCAATCTGAGTGAGGATCTGCTTTATATTTTACTCTGAGAAATCAGATAAATCTTCAAAAGCATAGCTGTCACAACAACCTTCCAATTAGCTCACTCAATGTGAGTCATTCTGAAATTAACTTGTGGAAAAATGAGCTAAGGTCCCTCCCACCTCCAGAAATCAGGTAAAGAAATAAAATAAGTCATTTTTTTTTCCATTTATGATGTGACTATACACAACCTCTTCAATGTTGAGACCTGATAGGTGATTAAATGGCTTAAATTCTTGTTTATCCAGCATTAATCATGAAAAATTAAGTCTACTAAAACTTCTATGTTAATTGAGAACAACAGAAACTTTATTATACAAGACTAGTTTCTAAAAAATTTGATTTTAATTTACCTAAAAAGATAAAAATGCCTAAAATAATACACTAAAGAATCATAACACACAAAGACAGATTTGATTTACATCTCCTCAGAAGTTTATAATAAAAAAAATTTGATCATAGTTTAGTTTGGGAAAAGAGACCATGCTAGCTATATAAAATCTGGTTCCTTTCTTTGGGTTAAAATTATTTCATGATTTATTTTAAAATAGGTTCTTCAAAGGATACGTGTTCCATTAACTCCTGATATTTTAAAGTCATCAAGCAGCTGAACAACCATTTCTCTATTTGGATCATTAGGGTCTGAATTGCGAACCTACAGTGGGGAAGAGAACATTTAGCCAAAGGAAAGCATGGAAATAAGGTAAATGGTAGGAGAGGGAATACCTGTATAAATACAACAAAGGATTATTTACTTCAAGAGCGAGCTCATACAAATCTAAAAGAAAAACATACTAAATTTTTAGGAGCTCAAATAGCAAAGAACTTAAAATAGGCAACTAACAAAAGGAAATACAGCCAACAAAGACTATTATTCTACTTGAACCATTTTGCTACTCAAAGTGTCACTCCCAAATTATTAGCAGGTTACCAGGCCATGAGGAATTAGGAAGCTTTTGCAGTATGCAAAATTCAACTACACATTAACCGCAGTTAACATTTCAAAGAAAAATTTTCTCAAAGAAGAAAGCAGTATATTGATTTACTTTGGGGCAAGAGTTCCTTATCTTGTCACAAACTGGTCCTCTGAAAAGTACTTCCTTAGATCCCTTCTGGTCCAACATCCTCATTTCACAAATGAAAAATCTAAGGCTAAGAAATACAATGATGAGCTGGAGGACTTACTGGAACAGAGCTGGTTCAAAACTCAGGTTTTCTGAGTGTAAGCTCTTTCTAATATCTTTCTAATTTACAGCAAAACTGAAAATAATTTTTTGATAGAATTTACCTAAATTCCAGGTATAGAGAGATTATGGTAATTTTATATTATACAATATTTTAAAATACAAAGCAGGTATTACATATTTTTTCACATAATTTTCTTTTTAACTATGATAGGAAAGAAAAATATTCTTTGTGTTACCTGGGACATAAAACACTAAATGAACATTTTTGTTTATTTGAAAGTTTTTCTGGTATGTACATAGGGAGAATTCCCAGCACAGCATATTCCACCAGTTTCCTACCACATGCACAGAATGTGTCAATATTGTCATCTTCCTCTTTTAAGGATGTTAGAACTTTACAGTAAAAGTTAACCATGCTGAAGATAAGTTTATACTGGATAGGTCTTACTTCAGTAAAATTTTTAACACTTTGCAGTTCATACACATGATCTAATACTCACTGATTTCAGCAACCGAATTTCATCTAAAGCTGTTTCAGTATAATGTTCAGCACTTTTAACTACTTTCATTGCCACAAACTTCTTCCCCCTAAGAAACAAATACAGGCAATTAAGACTAAATGCACCACCCTTACTTTAGGAAGCTAAGAGTTAGCTCTATGTGGGAACCAGTGATAAAAACTACAAATACGAATTCAGTACTCAGACTACTTCCATGGGATCATTTGTACCTGTTAATGGCACTGACAAGCCAGATTTAATTTATAAGAAGAAGAAAACCTGTTTTTCAGGTAGTATCAGTCACCAAACATCTCAACTTAAATCTACCTTCTGAATGTCTCCCTGAATATAAGTAAAACCATAAAATGGGGATAAATAAGGGGGAAAATGTTATCAAATCTGAAGTACTCTGTATATCTGTGTGGTAAAAGCTAAAAAGTCAAAATTCAACTCAATTCTACTCTAAATTTCTATAAGAAATTTATATCCCATTGAAAATCGGTAATATTTTAAATTTGGGAGTTCTAAGTGCATTACTGATACTAATTTAATCACTCTATCTCTTAGTACTTCTTCACCAGATGTAAGTCATTTGCTCAAAAACAAAGATTAACAACAAACTTCTGGCTAAGAAATATCTAGAGTTAGACTGAAGTCAGTAGCATCTTGAAAAACAGGACAAAAACACTTAGGTATCACCTAATTCTTTTGCAGGACAACTAAAACTTACTGAATATCCCATGATAACCACACTGTTGAAAAGTGTCCCCATCCCAACTTTCGGATCACATGATATCTCCCATTGAAAAGATCTCCAATTTTCACAAGATGATAACCCCCTGGAAGAAACAATGGGAGGGAAATAGTTAAGTAGTGAGAAAAGATATATCACATGCATTTTTTAAATTACCAATTAAAAATGGTATTTTCTCTATAACCAAGTCAATAGAAGAAAATGTTTAGTAAGCTACAGTATGACTGAGTTCATGTTGCCAAAAAAAAAATAAAAAAAATAGAGACTAAGATTAATGATGTAGAGTGAGCTGGTGATGCTTTGTAGGACAAGCAATGGTAAATTTAAAAAAAAAAAATCACCCTCAAACAAAAATAAAGTGGTATATCACAAAATTTTCTTGATCCTCAATACTCTTAATACATTTATTCTAAACATAAATTTATTTATACCTGCAGTTTCAGCCTGTTTTTTTTGGCGGGGGAGGGGGGGCAGGTTAACAAATTCCATTTATTTAACTTAAAAAAATGCTTCTCTAAAAGACACAATTAAACCCAGGAAGGCCTGAAAAGGCTGCCTTCAGTGGCAGGAATTAAGGTATTTTAACAACAATCTTTGCCTGCTGAAGATAAGGACTAGGTTTTTCTCTCAGATGGTAATGTATGCTCCCTTATAAATTCTTACCCAAGGATCCTAGAAAATCTCATGAAGAAACTGAAATGATTATCAGGAAACCTTACAACAGCTTAAGTATCTGTAATTCTAATTTGACTTATCTTTGTAGTCATCACTCTGAGGTAAAAAAAGTGCTTTTCAAAAGTCTATATTTCAAAATGCTATTATTTCTGGGTGATAGTATTAACAGATGACTTTTACTTACCTTTTATTTACTATTTCTGAAATTTTCTAAAGTAAATATGTACTAGCATTTTCAAGAACAAAAAAGGGTGAAAAACAGACTTAATATAAAACTAAACCTTAATAAATTAAGTTGAACTAAGAGTATACATTATATCTGTATACTTAGAGAAAACAATGCAATAAGCAATGAATCAAGATTGTTTCTGCCAATAAATCAAACATTCAAATGAGAAACTGCATATAGATGGATATGTCTTACTTAGCCTTACCTTTACAATAATCATTGGGATCTTCCTGTTCATCATCATCAGATCCCAGAATCTCCTCTTCCTGCTCTGGTAGATCACTCTCAGAATGGGGAGCAGAGCCTCGGTGATGTGTTTCAGGTCTAAGAAATAATATAAACATGTTCATTCCACATGGGCAGGAAAAAACACAACTTTTAGAAAATGCCATTGTCAAAATTTCCCCTGCTTAACAGATAATATTAGAAGAATATTATATAATTGAAGACTAGGAAAAATATTAGTTTCTGCTACTTCTCACATTAAGAAAATGCACTTAAAAAAAAGAAAATACTACTTCTTAAAGTGAGTACATGATGGTTAAATAAAATCTGGAAAACATAATAAAAGTACAAAGGGAAAAAAATTACTTGAATCTCAATATCCAAGTATAATCACTGATAAAACTATTGGATTTTCCTCCAATATTTTAATAAAAAAATGTACTTGTAGTTATAATGATGTATACCCAAAATCTAAAAAAATCTTATATACCAAAGTCCTTCAATTACAAGACCAAAAATCCCACCCAAAAAAAAAATACATATATGTATCCTGCTTTTCCTACTGTATTGTAAATCCTTTTTCTTGTTCCTATGCAATCTCTTCTTTCACTTAGAATTAGCAGCTCTTAATTAGGCACACACTACTCAACTGGACATTTAACTTATTTCTCAATTTTCACCTTTAAAAATAAAACTGTTTAGTATTTTGGGATAATGTATATTCTACATTTTGAATTATTTTCCTATACTTAAACTACCAGAGAAACATTCTATTTACAGTAACATGCAAATTCAGAAAATTTGGATAATTGTTTTAAAATACCTGTACTCTGAAACAATTATTAACATTTTAGACTATTTACTGCCAATGGTGGCCATGAATGGTTTTTAGGATTATTTTTTTTTAAGATTTATTTATTTATGCATACAAAAGCTGGGGTACAGGCCAGAGGGGTGGGGGGGGGTGAGAGGACCCACCAGAGACAGAGCAGGGAACAGAACAGGCAGACTGACCGAAGACACTGCTGAGGGGTGCAGTGGGCAAGTCAGGAGAGGTCTGCTGAGCCATGTGGGTTGTTCCCTAGCTGGCTGGGAATCAAACTCGTGCTGCTGATTGCTTCGTAGTTTGCGTCCCAACCCTTGCGCCCCCAGGGAGGCCTGGATTTTAGGGTTATTAAGTAGAATGACTTTTCTTAACCAGATTATACTAAGTTATGTCTCTAGGCACATATGGGATTTCAGCATTTAAGTATACCAAGTTCAGAAAACTAGCTTCATAGGTAAAAAATATTTTATTTTATAATGTAGTAAAAATTTTATTAAATTCTTTTCTCCACATGTCATCAATTAGCCATTTATATTTTAAATTTTTTAAACAATATTTGCTTCCCCTCACCCCCTCAGGTTGAGTCCCCATAGAATTTCCTTCCCCAAGGCACCCATGCACCATCACCACAGTCCCCTGTGCTTCTCCCTCCCTCCCTCTGATCCCTCTTCCTCCTCCTCCCCCGCAGTATGTCTCTCATTTATAATTGTTTTTGCTTTGTTATGTTTTGTACTGTAATTATTTTTTTTTACACTGATGTCTTATTTGGTTCCCCTATATTCCTGTTATAAGTGAAACTATGCGGTATTTTTCTTTTTCCTTCTTGCTTATTTCACTGAGCATAATTCCTTCTAGCTCCATCCATGTTGCTGTGAATGGCATTGAGTTTATCTTTTTTGATTGCTGAATAATATTCCATTGTGTATATATATATCACATCTTGTTGATCCAGTCATCTATTTTTGGGCATTTGGGTTGTTTCCAGTTTTCACCTGTTGTAAATAGTGTTGCAATAAACATAGGGGTACAGGTGTTCTTTTGAATCAATGTTTTTGTGTCCTTTGGGTAGATCTCTAGGAGTGGAATTGCCGGGTCCTATGGTAGCTCCATTATTTAGTAGACTGTGGAACCTCCAGACAGCTTTCCATACTGGTTGGACCAGTTTGCACTCCCACCAGCAATACAGGAGAGTTCCTTTTTCACCACATCCTCACCAACATTTGTTGCTGCTTGGTTTTTTGATATGTGCCATTCTTACTGATGTAAGGTGGTATCTCAGTGTGGTTTTGACTTGCATTTCCCTGATTATAAGAGATGCTGAACATTTTTTCATATGCCTGTTGGCCATTTGCATTTCTTCTTTGGAGGAATGCCTTTCAAGTTTATTCTGCCCATTTCCTAACTGGATTGTTTATTTTGTTTTTGTTGAGCCATGTGAGTTCTTTGTATATCTTTGTGATCAGTCCCTTATCAGTTGAGTGGAATGCAAAGATTTTTTTTCCCAGTCAGTGGGGTGTCCCTCTGTTTTGGTTAATGTTTCTTTTGCTGTACAGAAGTTTTTCAGTTTGCTGTAATCCCAGGTGTTTATCTTTGCCTTCACTATCACTGCTTTGGATGATGAGTCTTTAAAGATGTTTCTGAGATGTATGTCTTGTAGTGTTTTACCTATATTTTCTTCTACATATTTTATGGTTTTAGGTTGTATGTCCAGTTCTTTTATCCATTATGAGTTGATTTTTGTGCACAGTGAGAGGTAGTGATCTAGTTTCATTTTTTTTGCATGTGGAGGTTCAGTTCTCCCAGCACCATTTATTGAACAAACTGTCCGTGTTCCATCGCATATTCTTTGCTCCTTTGTAAAAGACTAGTTGTTCATGTAAGTGTGGCTTTATTTCTGGGCTCTCTATTCAGTTCCATTGGTCTGTGTGTCTGTTTTTGTTCCAATACCAAACTGTTTTAATTATCATGGCTTTGCAGTATAGCCTGAAGTTTGGAAGTGTGATACCTCCTTTCTCCTTTGTTTTCATCAGTAGGGCTTTGGCTATTTGTGTTTTTTTGTGGTTCCATATGAATTTCATCAGTACTTGTTCTATTTCTTTGAAGAATGTCATTGAGATTTTTATTGGAATAGCATTGAATCTGTATATTGCTTTTGGGAGGATGGCCATTTTAATAATGTTAATTCTTTCAATCCGTGAGCAGTGGATATCTTTCCATTTCTTTGTGTCTTCTTCAATTTCTTTTAACAATGTTTTATAATTTTCTTTGTATAGGTCTTTCACTTCTTTTGTTAGGTTTATTTCCAAGTATTTGATTTTTTTTTGTTTCAATTATAAAAGGGATGGTATTCTTGATTTCTTCTTCTTCAGATTGACTGTGCATAGGAAGGCTACTGATTTTTGTGTGTTGATTTTGTATCCTGCTACTTTACTGAACTGATTGAGTAGTTTTTCTGAAGTGTTTAGGGTTCTCTATGTATATTATCATATCATCTGCAAATAATGATAGTTTTACTTCTTCTTTTCCTATTTGTATTCCTTGTATGTCTTTCTCTTGTCTTATTGCCCTGGCTAGGACCTCCAGCATTATATTGAAGAGCAGTGGTGAGTGAGGACATCTTTGTCTTGTTCCTGATCTTAAAGGAAAGGCCTTCAGTTTTTCGCCATTGAGAATAATATTGGCAGTGGGTTTGTCATATATGGGTTTTATCATGTTAAAATTATGTTCCTTCTAACCCAAGAATTTCAAGGGATTTCATCATACATGGATGTTGGACTTTGTCGAATGCTTTCTCAGCATCTATTGATATGATCATATGTTTTTTTATTTTTCTTTTTGTTGATGTGTTGGATTACATGGATTGATTTTCATATGTTGAACCATCCTTGTGCCCCTGGGATGAATCCCATTTGATCATGGTGTACTATCCCTTTGATGCATTGTTGGATTCTATTGGCAAGGATTTTGTTGAGGATTTTTGCATCAGTGCTCATTAGGGAGACTGGCCTATAATTTTCTTTTTTAGCGCTGTCTTTGTTTGGTTTTGGTATTAGTGTAATGTTGGCTTTGTAGAACATATCTGGTAGTATTCCTTCTTTTTCAATTTTTTGAAAGAGTTTGTGTAGGATAGGCATTAATTCACTGTTGAACATTTGGTAGAATTCATTTGAGAAGCTGTCTGGGCCTGGGCTTTTGTTTTTGGGGAGTGCTTTGATTACTGCCTCAATTTTGCTGCTTGCAAGGTCTGTTTAGATGTTCTATTTCTTCTTTGTCCAGCTTTGGATGATTATATCATTCTAGGAATTTGTCCATCTCTTCTAGGTTGTTGAATTTGTTTGCGTAAGTGTTCATAGTAATTTCTGATTATTCTTTTGATTTCTACTGAGTCTGTTGTGATTTTTCCTCTTTCATTTATAATCCTATTTATATGTGTTTTTTCCTATTTTTTTTTTTCCCTCTGTGAGCCTGGCTAGAGGTTTGTCTATTTTGTTTATTTTTTCAAAGAACCAACTTTTGGTTTCATTGATCTTTTGGATTTTTTTTTAATTTCTATTTTGTTTATCTCTGCTTGATTTTTATTATTTCCTTTCTTCTACTGGCTTTAGGGTTTTTTTTGTTGTTCTTTTTCTAGCTCTGTGAAATGTGAGATTAGGTTGTTTCTTCAAGTTCTTTCTCGTTTCTTGATGTGAGCCTATATTGCTATATATTTTCCTCTTATTGCTGCTTTTGCTACATCCCATACATTCTGGAAAGTGGTGTCCTCCTTGTCGTTCAACTCGAAGTTTCTTTTAATTTCTTCTTTGATCTCCTCATTAGTCCAGTGGTCTTCCAGGAGTGTGGGGTTCAATCTCCATGAGGTAGGAGAGCTCCTTGCCTTTTTTTTTTTTTTTTAAAGATTTATTTATTTATTTATACAAGCACTGGGTACAGTCAGAAGGGCGGGAGGGTAAGAGAATTCACCAGAGCCAGAGCAGGAAACAGAACAGGCAGACTGATGATACACTGCTGAGGGGAACAGTGGGCGGCAGGAGAGGTCTGTGCGCCATGTGGGACCCTCGCCCGGCAGCCAGGGATTGAACTGGTGCTGCAGAGGCTGCGGGCAGCTTCGCAACCCAGCGCTCAACCGCTGCGCCACCGGGGAGGCCCTCCTTGCCTTCTTTTTATGGTTTATTTCTAGTTTGATGCCTTCATCGTCAGAGAAGATGTTTAGTATGATTTCAATCTTGGTGTATCTGTTGATGTTTGTCTTGTGTTCCAGTACCTGCATCGATCC